GTTAGGAGAGAAGAAGATTTAGATGGTTCATTCAGCACACAGCGACAAAACAAAAAATCACACAGACATTATCCCTCGGAGAAGAGAACGCTACCGTTAATGAATTCTTCCGTGCTGATAGTCTGCAAGGCTGAGCATATGTGATGATTGAAGCCTAGGGAACTAAGCACAGAGTATTCACCTGATTATTCTAAGAACTGCCCAGGTACAGAGACCACATGCGATTAGCATCAGTGGCCGTCGTCATGAATAATGACGTACGCTTCAAGCTTCTATAAAAATCGTGTCACTGCTGTGCTGTCAACTTGCTTGCCATTCATTTGCGAGAAGAGCAGCAGGGCACTCCGATTAGGTTTGCAATTGTGGGAGTATATCCAAATAACCATAGGAGAGCTGACTTGGTTATATGACGACAAATCTGAGTTTTGATTGTCACTAGAAAACTGGAATGAGAACACAAACTATTTCGGCTACATTACTATTTTCCGATCGGTGTCCTCGGCAAGCCTCTCAGATTCTCATGTCGTCTGGCTTTGCTCACAGTCGCAACAACTTGATGGCATGGTCCACCTTCTCGGCAATCACTTCTTTGGCATACGGTGTTAAGGATAAAGGATAGTATTCGATGAGGCCTATGCAATGACTTGCGGGGGGCCAGCCGATGTACAAATCAGTGTTGCGGAGGGCTTGGTTAGCCAGGGCGGGAGTTAACCCGGGATTCGAACCCAGGACCGCGCGAGTGGTAAGCGCGCCACTTGTACTACACTATCTACGCCTCGACATGCGGTGAAACCAATAATACCTCTTTAGTAGTGAAGAAGGCTTGCCATGTTCTGAGATGATATACTGGCCACTCTTTTTTGGATCCTTGCTCCTCTCTGATCCAGTTCCTCTGATCCTCCACTACAGATTCTTCTCTTGCCATGAGAAGTTAACACGTTGGTTTCCATATACAGTGATGACGAGAATGCTGAAGGATCTCTCGTAAACCGCGATGAACACTTCGAGAACTCTGAAGGATAATTCCCAGCTTCTCTCTTCTTGCAACCTAGGCACAGCAGATTATACTTCGTGTTAGTAATGTTGTGCTTTACGAGGTTGTTAGGTGGAATTTTTCATAGAACCGGCTTAACGTTTCAACCAAACTGTCATACTCGGAGGCCTAAAAGTGATCAGAAACTCAGACTCATGCTTCACACCATCAAGCACTTAATCTTCTCTAGATTTCGACGTTCTGTCGGGAACCTCGAAGAGGAATTCAAGCAGCTCGGAGAACAGACTCACCCAGCGTTCCACCTTCTGAGCGGAAATATCCGCTAACACAGTTGAGTGTTGGCAAATGACGACTAATACTAAGACTATTAAAAATATGTGGGAGACGCACGTAACGCAGAAGGATATCGCTTGACATCGTTTTTGCACCATTCGAGGTCCCTGATGTCATCGTTGATTCAAGACTCGGCCAAGTCAGCAGGCGCAGTCACTGGAAGTAGGATGTCTCGTGGGTGCAACCGCGCTCCAGCGCCCTCACAACTTTCCGTCGCAAAACGCACGAGATCGTCTACTGCGGACCAGATTTCCTTTCCAATGCAAACATTCACGTTTTAGTAGGTCGTAGCGGACCGTTCTCTCGAAGATCCATCCATAGCGCGGAAGGGTGAGAGTAGAAAGGAGTTAAGCCCCTATTGCGATCAAGTGTTAACAAGTGCTGATCATTCTCCCTTTGTCTCACGATTTGTGACCCAACCTCAAGGCACGCGCCACTGGTGAGGCTTTCCATTGAGACGATGAGTGTATTTTAAGGAATGCAGGTACGCAAGAATTGAATCCATTACTCGACTAAATCGCTGAATCCATCTTGCACACCTGCCGCTCATAAGACAAAGCAAGGAGAAGGTTGAGAATCTCCAAAGTGCATGTGAGCAAGAGAATGCAGCGACGGTTATTTTGCTCATAAAAACAGCAACAAACGTAAAGTTGGTCGGTCGCCGACCCTCTGAAAATAAAACGGTTTCGCAGCAGGTTGACCAAGCTTCTAATCAGAAAAAAAAGCTATGTAAATGGAATGGCCTGGCGAGCAAATTCCCTGTAATAAGTGCTAGGTCAAATAAAAGAAAATTACACATACCAGTACATCCATCTGACAATCTTCGTTCGAATTCCACAAAAATATCCTTACTCGGTAAAACATATCAAATGGAAATATTGACTTGATAATCCCTAGATGTATTCTGAACCCTGTGCTTGAAATAAGATTGCGGAAGGATATAATCGCCACTATCGATCGTTCTTAACGACTGGAACTGCTCCATAGAACTCTTTATATATTATGATCACAGAGAAATTCGATATGGCTATTATTATAACGGGAAATAATAAAGCCAAAACATAAAGCCATGAGGGCTAGACAACGAATATGAAAGGAAATAAAAGTTTTTTTCACTTGAAGTTAACAACTGCCACGACCATAAGAGCCGTCAAAGGGCTCTTCTTTCTTAATAACGAACGTACCATAACCACAGTTCTGCTGGTTGAAACCATAACCACAGTTCTGGTTGAAATACAGGTGATCCATGTCGAATGCTCTCATGCCACTCTGAAGAAGTCAGGGCTCGACTCATCAACACAAAATGCTGCAGAAAAATGATATCTGAAGAAGAAGAATGATGATATCTAATGATGTCTTGTGAGAAGTGTACAAACAGCTGCATCTTCGACTGTTATGGATATTACAACTTCTTTGCTGTGGAAATCACTCGGGCCCGACGCATCAAGCATTCTGCAGCACAGGGCCCCTTGAAGGCGTTTGCGCATTCGTGCACTGGCATTGCGTTGTGACCTTTAACTCTGTTTCTCACCTTGGAGGCAGAGCTCGTGTGAAGTGAGGTTTACACAAGAAACTTCAAGTGCTCAATAATTCAAAGGGGCCAGCATTAAAAAAACTTAGGTGGTGTTGCAGAAATAAAGAAGGAAATTTGCCAAGTGAACCGCCTATGGAGAAAATGCCAAAGGGAACGTTGGAAACGCATTCGTCAGGCCTCCTCTAGCCTCAAACAACTGTAGAGGTAAAAGACCGAAAAGACCGCGCGCTGGGACGATTCCCGTCGGCTGATTCCCAGTAATGAACCCTATGACTCTACAAGAGACACTGAATGCATCCACTCCATGATACTTGCATTACTTTTGGCTGGAAGGCCGACTTTGGAGGCGGAGTCACTGGAAAAAGGGATGTACCACTGAAGCAACTTTGCGCCTTAATTCCTTTACCATACAACTTTCCGCCGCGAAAGTGGCGGAAAGTTGTATGGTAAAGGAATTAAGGGTTGTCCACTCCGGACCGCACTAGGGTTGTCCACTCCGGACCGCACTACCTTCCCACATACCTTCTCGCATTTTCATAGGTCATCGTGGACCGGTCCTTTAACAACGACCGAAAAGTTTTCCAGTCGGCAACATGACATTGCAGCAAAAGTTCAAGCGTGTTTAAATAGGGCTAATGCGCAATACGATGTTTGCGTCATCTTCTTGCATGTCCAATCATAGACGTTTTCTACAGCTTGTCTTCCATGGAGGTGTGTCACCAAAATTCTTCCCGTGGCAGCCATCAATGTCAACTGATGTGGCCCGACTTAAGCGAAATCTACAAGTAAACAGTTACGCTAATCGTTGAAACTTGTATGAATCATTAGTTTGCTTACCACAAAAGACTTTTGAAAACCAACCAAGGCGCAGCTGCAATCAACAAAATCCCACTGAATGATCTCTGAGTATTGGGATCGCGCATAATACAGGAATATCGGATGGCGTGTACAAAGTTGCCCGCCCTCAACAAGGACGACTTATCTAATCACAATCTCCGACCTTCAAGTCCACTACTTTTTCCATGGGAGCATGCCAAAGTCTAAGAAATGGACGTAGAAACCGACCAGTCGGACACTCGTTTTGACTGAATGACACTCATATCTAGAACCAACTCGCAACTGGACTAGTCTGTGGCGCTCTGATTCACTCGTCCAAGCTGTTGCCGTGTATCACAGCTAACGAAGGATACTTCGATAAGGTCTAGCAATAGTTGTTATTTAGGACATGTCGTAGCATATCCAATAGAAAAACCGTCGGAAACTTTTAAAAATGCGGTGGTTGTAGTCGTCCGTACTGTGTTAGGGCCACCGCCATATGGCCCGATGTAGCGAATCCTGTGATGAATTCTCTCCTAATGGCTTAGATTATCAGTCTGTTATACCGTAGTCTTAAGTGTAAAAAAGCGGTACATTGGTTCTGCCAATGCACCAGCACTCTGCACCATACGACGATGAGTTTCCGATTAATCTGCTCATTTGACTCTTCTGAAGACAAACTGTACCCCCATCTACGAGAAAGGCATTTCTCACGTGCTAAGAGATGCATGGGAAGGGGCTCGAGAGTTTCTCGAGGGAGGAGAGATTCCACACTATTTCTTCGTATTTTTTGAGCACTACGACATGTAGGTGACGAGTTTCTAGCACGAAACCAGCTGTTCGCACAGGCTTGGCCACGTTTAGTCGAAAGGACAATGGTTCACATTTCCTGCCACTCATTTCGGATTTTCTCCAAAGTCAAGTCACCAACCATGTCTGAACATCACTATGAACGACTGGCAATCGCGGGATTGGCCGTCTATTTTATAACGTGATAGCAATAGCTGGCACTATATGCACCCGTCTCAAGAAGCCGGCTTACACGGTATGAGTAAATTGAGGATCTGAAGCTCAGGTGGAGGACGGCAAGAAGTTTTGAGAATAAGTTGAAGAGATATTAATGCGAGGCTATCAATGGACACATGAACGAGAATACCTCTCATGAAACAAGGTAGCCACATTACATAAGAACGATGGAACCCATTATTGACTGTTTTTTATGCTCAAGACGTAGCGCAATTTAGACTTTGCCCAATATTTTCAGTGTTGTGTGCACTGATGGGATCAATGAACCTTATTTAACGCAATGTGTGTTACGGTATATCAGATTACTAGCATGAACTTGAAATTTTTGAACTTTTCATGTTGTTGCGATAAGACGAGCATTTGAATTGAAAATCTTACCAAATCAAGCGAAATGCTACCAGCGAGTTCTTCTGCGGTGTAACGCGGAGTGCCATCGTCATTGAATACGTGCATAGTTTTGATATAGTTACACAGAGAGTTCACTTCACAGGCCTGTTCCGGAGTAACTAACCCATGTGCATGTCTGATCGCTGAACATAGAATAATATTCAGTGTAGCAACTACGCCGACGAACATATTCATTTCAACAGAGAGTCGGAACCCACTGCATGCTGCACACGGCGCATCACGCTCGTTTTACTTCATATGACCGCGTGATGTACATGGCGCAGCACGCTTCGTTCGAACTTATTCAGCACTGTTAGATGGTTCAAGAGTGTCGATGTATTTTCGAAGTTTTGTTTTGTGTGCCAAAATAAGTAAGTGGAAACAACGGGATCAATGTAGCGCTACGCTACTGACATTTTTTGTGAAATACTTCAGGTACAGTAATCTTTGTGTTATCTCTCGGTAACCAATGAAACCAAAACTCTGATTTTGATATATGATAAAATTCGTAAAACAAAACAAGGGAATAGTTCCTAGATATGTTGCGCCTTGTTTTCAGTTCTTCTTGTTATTACTAATTTTCTGGCTAGTGTTGCATTTTTTCTGCTCATTTTTTATCACGTAACAGTATTGAATCTCATTTATCGTATGCATACATATAAAGAATGTACAATAAGATGCACACGCAATACTCTTATATCATATGTATCCTACTATATATAACCCGCTAAGTTTGTCTGTGTATCTGTGTGAGTATTTGACAGGAGATTCATAACTTCTTTTGAAACAGCGATAGAACGCTCAAAATGATAAATGATGTGGGAGGTCGAGGAAAACTATTGATCGGTGGCAGGAACTGATAAGAGCTGATAAGATACCAACGGGCCCTTAGAAGGTGAGGGTCACCAAATTCATAACGCGCGTCACAGCAGCGGTAGAGCGTTGGTTCCAAGAAGTAAGATAGGGGACAGGATGGGAACATTATTGGTGGGTGGCAGGAAGTGATAACAGCTGATAAGATACCATACGGGCCTTGAAAGAAGAGGGTCGGCAACTCCGTAGCGCGTGCCACAGCAGCGACGGGACCTTGGTGGCAAGAAATAAGATAGGGGGCAGGATAGCTAACACTTACTGGTGGTGGCAGGACGTGATAACAGCTGATAAGACACATGGGATC